TTTTGAACCATTCACTGCCCTCTTGTTCTGTCTGAATGACTGCCTCTTGGTCTATGTACAGGCTCCTCGTGAGTGGAGTTGTTGTTATGTGCTGTTCTGTCAGTTTTGACTCATAGTGACCCTGTTAGGGTTTCTGAGGAGAGGCCCGTGAGCTTCAACCACCATCCTTGCGGTTCAAACCGACCTTGCAGTCCAGTGTATTAACTAACACGCATGCCACACCAGGACTCCATGAGTGTGGGAGGCAGTTGAAAATACAAGTTAGGCATTCAGGTGGAAGTGTACATTTGGAGGTGTCAGCATACAGGTAGACGTGGGTACAACAGCCAAGGGTGGGAATGTAGAGAGAAAGAGGCGACTGCTGGGAGATGAGGGAAACCAGTAAGGGGTAGGGGCTCAGATGAGAAGGTGCGTCACTCTTCATGGCGTGTGTCTGCACTCCAGCAGAGATAACCCCTCAGAGCTCTGTGCTTCCCCTTTCTGTTGGCAGTGTGCCTAGTGCCCCTACCCCAGTGTGTCAGCCTGTCTCTTCTCTCGCAGTGGGCAGCCCTGGGCACGTTCCTCAGCTCTGTGCCCTGTTCTCAGCTGTTCAGGGGGTGGTTGGGTTTAGTCCTACAAGTTAAGGGAGTTAAGCCGAGTAGAAACAGCAGTGTCTGCCTTACAGTACGCTAGTCTGTTTCATAGTTGACTTTTTGTTGTCGAGAGGGAATATTTCCCTTTGTATAAAATTGTTGGTGTTGAGTTGTCTTTCTATTAGCAGCATCTAGCACAGTGTCTGATACACTTAGTGCTTTAAAATGTGGTTCTTGGACACGTGGTTCAATCCGCAGGGACTGTGAGGCAGCAGGGACGGAGAAGCTGAGTCTGAAGCTGAAAGATTAGGAGAGGACTTTGAGAAGGGAGCACAGGCCTCCTCCGCTCGCTGGTGGGACTGGTGTGCACAGGGCCGTTTGAAAGATTAGATAAATCACAGCAACAAATAAACAATCATTTAAGGAAAAAGAAGGGGGAGGGAACCGCCACTCATTAAGAAAAAAGAACACGTTAAGAAACGAGTCACTCACATACAACGTGTGGATCGTGACTCAGATAAGCCCCTTACTAAAAAGGTAGTAAGATTGAATAAACTTGTCACTGGGTGGCAGTTAGGTACAAGGGAGCTATAGTGTTCTCATTTTTCAGCCATAATCCTCTGTTTCTGTTTTTTTTTAAGTTTCTGCTTATAGTGAGCTGCACTGAAATATGTACAGATGAAATCACATGCTGTTTAGAATTGGCTCCAAAATAATTCATTAGTGGGAAATGGGATGAATGGGTTTATGTTCTTGTTTAGTACAGTCGAGTTGGTTCTGACTCTTAATGACCCTTTTTAGGGTTTCCAAGGAGCAGCTGGTGGGTTTCAACAGATGATCTTGTGGTTCGCAGTCCAGTGCTGATACTGTAGCACCACACCTGGGGTCTGAGTGGGTTTATAGATGAGATCAGATGCACCAG